GGCAGCGGGCCCCGCGGTTGGAATCGGCGCCGGCTTCTCGTGCCGTGCCGGCTGCTGAGGACGGTCCCGGGGTGCCGCAGAGGCTAGAAGCGGTGCCGGGACTGAAAGCGGTGCCGCGCTTGCAAGCGGCACCGCGGTTTGAAGCGGCGGCGGCTTTTCATGCCGCGCCGGCTGTTTGGAGCGCTCCTGGGGCCGCTCAGCTGTTGAGCGCCCCGATACCGGCGCGGAGTGGGAGGATCGTCCCGAAGCCTTTGTGGCAGGGGACTTCCCATGCTGGTGCGTCTCTCCTGTATGTTTGGGAGAGGAAGAGGCTGGGAGAGAGCGGGATGCCCTGGGTCTCGGGGTATTTTTGGAAGGCTGCAGAGGCTCTTGCTGCGGTGCGGATTGTTCTCTCGCAGGCTGCAGCGCTTTTTCAAATAAAATCATCCTGAGGCGGAGCTCACGGTCTTTTCTGGCTCTCGCCGTCAGGGAATTGCAGTGGGTACAGTTGTGGGGAGAGTGAGTCTCCCCCAAACATCGTATACAGTCTGAGTGGCCGTCTGAAGCCGGCATTGGGTCCCGGCATTGAGCGCACTTTTTAAACCCTGAGGAGCCGGACATTGCAGGCTCTCTCGGTGTTGAAATTACTATATTGTTATAGTTTATGTGGTTTACTTCTTGTCCTTCTTTTTTTTAAAAAGTCTTTATGTGTTTCTTGTTTGACAGGCGGGAGAAAGCCGGTTCACCAGAGTCTCGGTCTGAGGTAAGTTCAAGCCCCCCCTGAGGGGGGGATTTAACTAATCTATTTTTCCTATTTCTAGTTTTTTTTTATAAAGAAACAAGGAAAGAGTAACTAGGATAACAGGGGAAGCTAAACTATGCCTAAATTAGTAAAAGGAAAGCAGTCAGATAATCTGACAGGGAGCTCCTAACTGCTCCGTCCGCTGACGAGGGCGGTTGAAGAGGAACTGAAAGGGAGGGGGTTGAGTCACGCTCCTCAGGAGGCGGGAAGGGCTCGAGACGCCTCCTGGGCATGCGTGGCTCAACAGGGGAAACTGCTATACAAAGCTCCGATCTGCGGCTCAGGGCAACCCTTCACCTACAGTGGAGCACCCACGGGGACACTACTCGAAGAAGAACCATTTTTTCTTCCTTGAGTAAATGCACGTCCATTTCACAGCACTCTAAATTGGCAGTGGGCTTAGAGACTTCTCTAACAAAAATCGAAGGGGTACTCATCCAAATGTGGCATTGATGAGAAATAGTATAGAGCGGCAAAAGCAAGGAGCAATGACTAAGCTGATACCTTACAAATATTCATAATGGTAATCCTAGCCAAAATGGCCACAGAAGCCACCTGCTATCTTGTCATGTGAACACTTTATTGGGAGATGCAAAATTGTCAAACAAGAAGCATAAATGAATAATCTGAAAATCCAGGCAGAGATCTCGGTGGAGACCATATGGCCCTTTAATCTGTCTGAAATCATAATGAAGAACTGAGAGGAAGAACTGAATAATTTAATTCACCCCAAGTAAAAAGCTGAAGGGCTTCTAACATCTAAAGTATAGTGTTTTTCCTCTATTTTGCTCAATTGAGACTTTGGAAGGAATGTTGGTAAATACATTATTTGACTCATGTGAAACTGGGAAACCAATTTAGACAGGAATTTAGGGTCAGGCCAAGGAAAACCCTGGTACCTAAAGAAAATTGTATAGAGGAATATTGATAATAAAGCTGATCCCAAAAATCTGAGATGCCAAGAATGGACTACTCTCCTGGATGAGGTTATTACTTTCATTGACAGGTAGAACAGAACAAGTTGCTAGTGGTTCAAGGAGGTGGGGGACTCATCATCTCTGCACCAAATTTTAACCTCATTGTGGAACTGGATAATGAACCTGTGGGTATAATTTAAGCAAATGCTATAGAAAGCTACGAGTACGTTGTTTAAACAAACGTATGTATTGCAATGGCAGAAAAAAATTCTGTGTGTCTGAAAACTAGGTACTGGGGGGTACTTATTTTTTTAAAGGGGTAACTTTATAAAAGAAGGTTGAGAAACACTGCTCTACACCAATGAGGACATGCTCAGCGTGTGTCCTCCAAGCCTGGGTCTGAATGGGGGAAAAGAGCTGCTTCCATAAGAATTATTTTGAGCTGCTGTTCAATCTCTATAAGCATTCTAGGGTGAAATCTGAGGCAAATCTGATAGTGATCCCTTTGGAGACTCTCCCTGAAGCACCTAATACAGAAAAAATGCAAATCGCTCTTTAGCGTATACTTTTCACAGACCAGTTTTTGAACCCCAAGGACTGCAGCATGGCATGGCTCTGGGGAGTCAGAAAAAAAGGGAAGGAGGGATTCCCTTAACAAAAATAATACTAACTATAAGAAAAACTCTAACTAGGATTGACTACATACACGCAAATAGAAGTGTTTACAAGAGAGAGGGCTACAAGAAGTCCAAACCTACATTTGTTGGCAATAAGAAGGAACCAAGGGAGTAGTAGGCTCAATATTAGAGGATCAATATGGGAGGTCATGAAAATGCAGGCTCAATATTGGAAGTTATGAAAATGCAACTCCAGGGGGAACCAAGACCAAGCCAACGGATGCTATGGGAAACTCTTCCATCCGTATGTGCGCCCATGTAGACACCTGATTAGAATTGACATGAGCAAACACTTGAAGAACTTCTTTTCTCCATCCTTTCACTAGTAGGGGGCAAAGAAAAAAAAATCTGCCGTGACATCTTGACAGGCTCCAAAACAGCCTTATTAATTGGGAGAGATATCCTAGAAGGCTTTACCAAGGCCAAAATGTCCACAAATCCATGTGTGATCTTTTCCTGTTCTGGCTGGACATCTACAGCTACAGCCATGCTCCTCAACAAGTCTTGATGAGCTCTAAAGTGATGCAAGGAGGAGAGGTAGATTCAGACACTTCCTCAGCGGGTGACTACAAATAGGCTAAAGGTTGTAGACAATGTCCCTCCTCCAATTCCTCAATAGGGAATTTCCAAGCACTCTGCTCTGCTTGCACAATACTGATCCCAGTACCGTGGAGAAGGAGGATGGTGAGTTTCTTTCTGATGTTCCTAGTGCTTGGTTGATGTAGAAGGTGAGAAGGGAGTAGAGAGGTTATGAAATATGGAGGGAAGCCTAAGTGGGGCCACTGCTATAGAGGCAGTGTGTAAGCCTCTGATTCTTAGAATGCTGAAGTTGGTATGTTGATTGACAGGCAACATAAAAGAGAAAATATTTTAGTCCAATAAAGAGTCTGTTTCTTCTGACCATAGGGTAGCTTAACCCCCTTTTCTAGATTTGGAATCTCTCTTGCTGGTGATGAAGTTGCTGCTATTTCCCACCACCCCACTTGCAAGGTTATTTTACAATGGTTAAATTTAATTTACTATGCCAATAGGAGGTTTACCTTGCAGCATTGTATTCTTGATGAGATCTCTTGCCATTACTGCGTTCCCACCTAGAAGATGACTGTTCAATAGGTGGCAGGCCAGAAGCTCCTGACGTTCGTCTCAACTGTGGTGTTGGTAAACTATTCCTGCTATTTAATCCCTGTTGAATAAGTTAACAATAGTTAAAACTTCTCTTATTGAAACAGATGTTTCATAATGTATTATTTCTACTGGGAGTGTATGAAATTATTTTATAGCTAATCATGTTCAAAGAAGTAGGAAGTATGATATCCTATGTTAGAAAAAAATATTAAAGGCTTGCTTAGAAATATTGCATTGGAGATAAAGTTCTATTTTATTTCTCAATCTTCTCACCCCATAATTTAAAAAAAGTCAAGATATTTGTCCTTAGGAATTCATCTGCTCCAACTATTATACCTCACATGAAGTAATTTATAATTGGAAGAGATCTCTTGTATTATCCAGACAATCTTTTTGCAAACACAGGACTGCTCATTACAGTACATTTTCTAATATTCTTCCTACATAAAAATTTCTAAAGCACCTACAAGACTTCTGAACCTAAGTCCCATTTTCTGAAGTAAAACAAGCTTCTAAGGGTATGTCTACATTGCAAGGTAAACCCACAGTTAATAGGACTCAAGTCAACTGACCCAGGGTTACAGAATCCAGAGCTTGAGAATCTCCACTGACTGTTAATACTATGTTAAGAATTTTCTAACCTGAGTTTGAACTTGAGTCTCTGGCATTCACACTGCAGCATACAAATCTGAGTCAAAACAGCCATATCCCAGACTTTTCAGCGTACTCCCAAAATGCATCCACTGTAGCCATGTCCATTGTGTGCTGTGGGAAAACTACTTTTCATGATGCATTTTAGAGGAAGTTAGAACAGCCCACCAACCCATCTTGCTCAGCAATCATTTTAGTCTGTATACTCCCAGCTACTGGAGCCAGCAACATGGAGCAAGTGCCTTTCAATAAGTTCTATCTTGTATTGTCACTTCTGTGTCATGAAATGGGCTGTGCTTCTGTAAGGTCCTGGGGCACGTTTCAGTAGTGTTGTCTAATCCACCAAAAGCATCTCACAGAATTCATGATGGAGCAGGAGGAGGAGCCTGGCATGATAGACTTAAACTGAATGATGCGGCTAATGACAGACACTGTGTATAGCTGATGATGCTCCCTATGTAGATCAGTGTTTTTGGTGCAGGGCCACAAACACAGAATTGTGAGATCACATTATCATGTAGATCAGGGCTGACCAGCAGTGAGTCCACCTTTTGCATAAAAAAAGCTACATTCTTGGAGCTTTGTAAGTAGCTTGCTCCAACCCTCCAGCATCAAGATACATGCATGAAGGCACCCTTGCCAGTCCAGCTGCAGATTGCTACAGCCATCTGGAAGCTGCCTACTGCTGATTGCCAAAGGTCTGTTACAACCATTTTGGTGCTGGGATGGCAATTGTGGGTAAAGTGGTGGAGGCTTCTGAGACAATCAGACATGTGGTTTAATCCATGGTGATAGGCATAAAAGATACTCCAAAAGTATTTGCTGGCATTTATAGAAAGTGATTTCCAAACTTTGTCAGGGTTTTGATGGGACTCATGGAGTACAGGAGTACTAACTCTCAAGGGATTATTATGCAGTCCCTCATGGACAACACAGCTTGATTTATGATTGTCAATGCAGGCTACACTGGGAAAGTTCATGATACCATGGCTTTTTGTTGATCAGAAGTCTACATTCACAGACAGGATAGAATATTTCCCACCAAAAACATCATATATAAAGTTACTGACCCTACTATTATTCTGGGGGCCTCTACATATTCCCTTTTTAGTTTTGGCTTATGAAATCATACCTGATTTAAGAGACCTTGGGAAAAGACAGTTTAATTATTCTCCCCAAAAGTGTAGAATGGTATTGAATGTGCTTTTGACAGACAAATGTTGATGTGTGCAGACACATTTGGAAGCCAGCGACATTAAAGCTGTCTGCATTAGTATGACTTGCTGTGCTCATCACAATTTTTATGATACCAGACGTGAGCCACTTCCCTCTGGATGGTTTAATGACAGCAAGGAGCTGCTAAATTGAGTTCACTAAGCCAAAAAGTGTACCTACCAAAGCTGGAGCTGGATGTATCTAGGCAAAATAAAACAAGGATGCTTTGTACTCCCGCATTATGGTATGAGTGGAAAAGATGGAAATACTCCTTTATGAATGTGGGGATGGGGTTCAGTACTTGGGGAGGGCCAGAACTTGATTATCAGGCACTGCAGTCATGAATGGCAAGGCGACTTATGAAATGGGAGTAGGGAACAATTCTTATATGGATTCATATAAGAAAATGATTGTAGTGCAAACTGATGTATCTAACTTTATAGAGGAATACCATTTGCTTACTAATTTCTAAGGGTACGTATACACAGCAGCGTTATTTCATAATAACTGATGTTATTCTGAAATAATATACAGGCAGTCCCTGGGTTACATGGATCCGACTTACATCGGATCCCTACTTACAAACGGGGGGGTGAGGCAACCCCGCACTAGCTGCTTCCCCCCAGCAGACCAGGGAGATGCGGAGCGGCTTCTCTCAGCAGACAAAGGGACACCTCAGCTTGAGAATAAAGCCTGAGGGAAGTGAGGTGTGGGAGAATAAAACTGAGCTCTGGAGAAATGTTTGGCTAGAGTTTCCCCTACAATATGTACCAGTTCCGACTTACATACAAATTCAACTTAAGAACAAACCTACAGTCCCTATCTTGTAGATAACCCGGGGACTGCCTGTAATGCGCATCTACACTACAAGCCTTTATTTCATAATAACGTCACGCTGGAGGACTTCTTATCATGGTAACCCTCATTTCACGAGGAGTAAGGAACACAGAAGGAAGTGTGTTCTTCCTTCAATTTCCTGCTGTGTAGACAGTGCTAAAAAGCTGAAGAAGCTATTTCAACTTAAGCTACGCGATTGACATAACTGAAATTGCATAGCTTAATTCAACTTTAGCCCTGCTGTGTAGATGTACCCGAATAGTCCCTGAACGTGTGTCTATCTTTACTATTTTAAATACACATGTGATGCAGTGAATAATAAACTTCCTTAATGGAATAAAAAGATTTTTCTATAAAAATATATTATAAAAGTACAACGTTCGCCCATTGTAAAGCAGGTTAGTTGCTATTACCACACCAAAACACCAGAAACTACAGGATCTCTCTCAAAAAAATTGTAAGAACGAGTACTAGCTGTAAAACTATGAATAAAACAAACTCATCAGTGCACGTCCCCAGCCCTCTATTCTTGTTTCTCATCTTATTCCATTTATTCTGTGCTTGGCACTAGGAGAAGGGGCTAGAGGCATCCAAGAGGCATGGGGCAAAGTTCCTCTGAGCAGTAACTCATGAGGCCAATTGCATGGGCTACTGGCCATAGAGTTTTAAAAGTTTTTCTGGACTGCATCCCAAGGTATCACACAGGGGACTTAGGCCATGGTGTGGATGATGCAGCAGGAGCCAATAATCTAGCAGTCATTTTTTATATCAGCTGCTCACATTGTTCTCTCTGCTGACCTCTATCCTATGCTCAAGGTGTGCAGCCAACTTTAGCCTTTTTTTTTTTGCCTCTCAGCATGCCTTTTCTCTAGCTGTAAATCGCTCTGGTTTTGATACTGTCCCTGCTTTTTGGCACTGTCCAGAAGTTCAACCATAAGTTCACCACTGAAACTCTTCCTCTTGGAACTGTCTGTGAAGGTACTTTGGTCCAGGATGGCACCACACTGAGTGAGCTGGGAAGGTACTGCAGCCAAAAGAGTTTGAGAGGCCTGGAACAGGACAAGACACAGAGGGATACTGTTTCAAATAGCTCACTGCAGGAGCACAGGAAAAAAATCTTTGGCTATGTCTACACTACAAGGTTTTTGCACAATAAACAGCCATTTCTGAGCAAAAACCCGCATAGTGTCCACACCTCAAGCAAATTTTTGCACTCACAAAAAATACAGTATATCAACAGGACAGAGGGCTTTTGCTGGTAGTTATTCCTCTCCCCAGGAGGAATAACTCCTTTTTGCGCTACAGCTCTCATGCAGAAAGGCATATGTGCAGAAAAAGCACAGGTGTTCTGATGGCCATCCTGTTATTGGAAAACAGAGCTTTCTTGCGCAAGAGCCTCCATATAGTGTGGACGCTCTCTTGCGCAAAAGCACATCACTTTTGTGATGCGCTTTTGATGTGTGGACGCACTTTTGTGCAAGAAGGTTTTGCGGAAGATCTCTTCCGCAAAAAGCTTCTTGCGCAAAAACCCTGCAGTGTAGACAAAGTCTTTGTGAAATTTCAAAGACATAAAATATGTTTTTCCAAACAAAACTTCAGTACATGGTGAGAGGGATGCTTCTGTCCACAGAGGCTTCCTGGATACAGCCTGGTTAATTAGAGTCAAAAGTTAAAAATTCAATTTTTTAAGCCAATGTAGAACTACTTGGGCTGAGAGGACTGTTGGTGGTCTTGTGACAAAAAGCTTTTTCTCTCACTTCAGGCTTTCCACATTTTGGAAGACACACAGTAGTTGTGGTGTCTGACTGGCCAAGGGAGATGTTATTTCAACATGCTGGTGGGATACCTGCAGGGTTTACAACTCAAATATTCAAACATACAGCGAATGATTAGCACATCTGAGTGGACTGGCCTGGTCAGCTACCAAGGTGGCCCTGGAAAACACATCCTTTCCTGAAATGTTACTATTTGTCTGGAGAGCTTTGGGAAAACACTGCATCTATCAACACCTGAGACTTGGTTAGAATTCTTGAGGGATTCAATGGAATGCTGTATTAGCTTCCACGTGACTTAGCCATGTATGACTGCATGAAAAAATACTTAATTCCATGGCCACCTCTTTAAACTTCCTCTTCCCAGTACATCTCTGGATGCACTGTAAAACAAATTTAGGGCAAATGCTTGTGTCACTTACACCAACCTTTACCTGAAAGAGACTAGATCTGCAAATGGAACACACTTCCACCTCCTCCTGACCACAGCTTACAATTTCAACATGGCTTAGTACACCACTGAGTGGTTACAGAACAACAAATTTACAAGTATGGCACTGTGAGAGAGTCAGTTTTAAGAAATGGGAATGCCCTAGCAAAAATCTGTCCTTTCCAGTAAAAATACACTTTTAAGGATTTTTACTATTTGCATGTCCTGCTCATCATTTTGAGGGGGTGGGGAGAGCCACACCACTGGGACACAATCTGCTATTAGGGAATAAAGGCTGCTAGCTGGCTCTTCTAATAAGCTTTGCATTGTTCATAGAATGGAAATTCCTCCCATTTCTGTATTAATAAATAGTATAATGGAGCCACAAATAAGAGGCTCCAGGACAGTGTCCCACCTGTGTCTCCTGCAGGCTCTGCAGTGGCCTGTTCCTTGGGAGGCATCAAACAGTTCCTCTGAGTACAACTCCAGAACATGCTGCAGAGACTCCTGTGGGATTAGTTTCAGTAACAGTGTCACTGTATTGGCATCACTCTGCTGCTGGCATCCATCATTCCCCATGCTGTATTCTGGGTCCAGTGGGGTGCCATCCTAGCTGATCATGTCATCATGCATCACTGATGGCTCTGTGCTTGGCACACTGTCAAACTCATCTGAAAATGGGTACTACGTTGGGAGTTGTTTGAGGTGAAGTGCTAATCGCTAGTTTTCCTCTACTCACTCTTGAGATGCTTCATCTGTTTCCTACACTTGTCACCAGTCCAGTATATCTGCAGTGCTGTCAGTTTCTTCACTATTTGCTTGTCTACATGATCATTTCTGATACTCTTACCACTGTTTGGCTTGCTTTACACCACAGCAGTACCAAAACCTGGATGTATCCCATGTCAATGAAGGACTGCCATTTGCAGGAAGTTTTTTCTGTTCAGTCTCCATTGCAAACACTGAAAGTTCTCTGATGGTGTGTTTACAGCTCAATAGTCAGAAAGCAATGTAAAGATTAATGCTGACTTGCTGAGCTGCTGCAGTAGCATAATGGGGGTTGCTTCTGCATTCACTGGCAACAACTGCAGATTCATGAAATAGAGAACAAAGGAAATTGGCCCATTGGATAGATTGAGGGCCCACCAAAAAGTAAGCTGGGGATGGAGGGTTGTCTCTATAATGCAAAACAACAGGGCTCAAACCATGGGTCCCAGCTTGACTCAGGCTCAGAACCTCCATACCTGCTTGGTCCAAGCCCAAGTCTCACAGATTTGTGTATATGGAAGAGGGAATTTGGACTCAAAACAAGTCTGAGCCTGGGTTATCATTACAGTGCAGACATGCCTTAAGTACCTAAGTTAGTTTGCAAAATGGGATTTAGGACCCTCACTAACTTAAGCTCTCTTGAAATTTTTAACCTCCCAATGAGGCTTCTATCAATTCCCTTAGGAGACTACTTACCATCTTACATTCTACACTTCCAAATATTCCATCTATATTTTCTTTTTCTTAGTTTTACCTTATTAAACCTGACTGAATGGAGAGAAAAGGTTCACATTAAATTCTATTCCCTCCTCTGTGTGTTTAATACCATTAAAATATTTGTAGCCTAAGTACAGTTTGCTAACTGCACCTCTGTTTCTGCAGCCTTGATAGCTAAAATCACATCTTCAAAATATGCAACACCAACTGAAACAGAAAACTGTGCTAAAAAATAGTAAAACCAGGAAAATAAGTGGGATCTACTAAACTTAGCTGTTTTGGAATATTCACCTGAAAAACAAAATTTCCTGGACATGTTCCAGTTTGAAAAGGAAACTGTATTATCTGTAATATAGCAAATAATGTAGCATCAGGTGCTTCTGTGTGGTAGGCACTTTACACATATACAAAAATATCTGTCTCAAGGAAGGAGCTTATTACCAACTTTGTTTTTGAAAAACCTATACACAGAGTACAGAAGTAAACCTGCATGCTCATGTGAAGAAGTGGGTTTTGCCTACAAAAGTTCATGGTAACTATATATATTTTTGTTAGTCTCTCAGGTGCCACAGGACTACTCATTTTCTTTCACCGTGATTATGATTTTGGTGTACTGCACATTTTACTATGTCACCATGCAGTGATACAACATAATTCTATTTAGAATTTATAGTTGTTGCAACACAATCAGACCAGCTTTGACGGCTAAGTGTCACTATTGTACTCTACAAATAAATGAGGGTATGTCTACACTGCCACCCTAGTTCGAACTAGGGTGGCTAATGTAGGCATTCGAAGTTGCAAATGAAGCCCGGGATTTAAATATCCCGGGCTTCATTTGCATCTTGCCGGGCGCCGCCATTTTTAAATCCCCCTTAGTGCGAACTCCATGCCCGCGGCTACACGCGGCACGGAGTAGATAGTTCGAATTAGGCTCTCTAATTCGAACTACCGGTACACCTCAAACGGTAGTGTAGACATACCCTGAGGGATTTTGCAAAATATCTGCAAAACATACCAAGGCTTAGATTTTAAAAAACAAGTCCCTGAAGTTAGTCTCCTATCTAAATATTTAGATACATATCTGACTTTCAAAATGCGAAGCATGTAACTCCTTCCACTGAACTCAATTGTACTTTGCAGCTGCTCATCACTTTTAATAATCAACCAGCCATCTAAACATGGCATTAGGAGTTCACCTTTAAACTCTTATTTTTCAAAATCTTGGCCTAAACCCAACATGGAAGAAGCTACCATTCAAACAGAAATATTCTTTTCAAAAGTATTCTCTTTGCTCAAAATATCAAAATTGCTAAAAATATCAACATATGCTTTAATTACAATTATACAATCTTTTGACCTTGTGTAGCTTTCGATCGCCTTTTTCAGCTGCATCCTCCATTTCAGGGCACGGGTAAAAGCCAGGAAATGGTGTGAAGGGGTTAGCCTTTGGCCTGCAGGAGCCAGAGAAAGCACCCATCAAGCTATTAATGCTTCGAAGGGAAGAAATCGCATGTGGGGGAAGGGCTGGATCGATCAAGAGGTCTGATAACACGTTGCGAGCCTCATTTAGTACTGAAAGATCTACTCCATTTCCACTGCCAGCATTCTAAAATAGAGGGAAATATTATAAAATCACTCATTAAATTATACACTTTGACTATAAAATACAAACAAAATATCTATAACACACATAATTCACATCAAAACAGGAGAAACTCAATCTTATGAATATTTCTCCATCATGTACTAGAAAATCTGACATCGCTTGGGTCCTTACCTCAAATAAGTTTGGGGTTCTTTTTCATTTAAATATTTTGTTTCTGGGGAGGGCTGGTGATGGGGAATTCAGTATGCATGCTGCCTTCCCGCCGCCCCCACATCCCAGGGAGAGAGGACAATCCCAGCCCTTTTTCACCAAAGCTGTTTCAGGCCACATGATAAGTGCCTGTCCTTGGCTGCTACATCTGCAGCGGGCATAGCCGGGGGAGGGGGTGCATGTTCCTCAGCTGAGGAATAGACAGACACACATACACACAAACAGAAACTCTCTGAAATATATAGTAGATAGCTGTCCATTTCTCCACCCCTGCCCTCTCTTTGCCCAATGAGGTTATGGTTGTCTGGGTCCCCATCTCTGACCCTTTGTTTCCCTCTCCAGTGGTCATTCTGCAGTATAACTCCTCCTACCAGACCCTGACCTTTCTATTTTATGAGAAACAACTGAATTCCATGCACATCCCATTATCCTGGCACAACCAAGAGGAAGCTGCATACCAGATATGGTGATCCTCTTACCGTTTAACAGGAATTCTTGAACAAATGGATGGACAGACATACAGACAGACAGATATATTTCTAAAATATTTAGTAAGAAGATAATAGCCATATAATATAATACCATTCAGAACAGTATATTTTCAGAGAAACAAATTAACTGTCAATCAATCAAAATCAGACCTATTTAAATATTGCATTATGCTCTCAAACCTTACCTAAGTAAATACAAACAACTATTCCAGGAATTAATTAGATCAACCTACTCTTATATTTAAAATCACTTTTAATCATTACAAAGCAATTTAGATTTTAGAATTTTAAAAGATTTGTTCCCTTCCTTGGTAAAGGAAAAGAGGCTACCTCACCAATTCCAGCCATGCTATCACAGCATACTTCAGATCTGAGCAAGAGCAGTCAGTTTTCTTTTAATAGAACTGGAAGGGACCTTGAGAGGTCATCAAGTCTAGTTTGCTGCTCTCATAGCAGGACCAAGCACTGTCTCAATCATCCCTGACAGGTGTCTGTCTAACCTGTTCTTAAATACCTCCAGTGATGGAGATTCAACAACCTCCCTAGGCAATTTATTTCAGTGCTTAACCACCCTGACAGTTAGGAAGTTTTTCCTAATGTCCAACCTAAACCTCCCTTGCTGCAATTTAAGCCCATTGCATCTTATCCCATCATCAGAGGCCAAGGAGATTTTTTTTTCTCCTTCCTCCTTGTAACACCCTCCTAGATACATGAAAACTGCTATCACGTTCCCTCTCAGTCTTTTCTTTTCTAAACTAAAATAAGCTCAATTCTTTTAGTCTTCCTTCATAGGTCATGTTCTCTAGACCACTAATCATTTTTGTTGCTCTTCTCTGGACCTTCACCAATTTCTTCTCATCTGTCTTGAAATGTGATACCCAGAACCGGACACAATATTCCAACTGAGGCCTAATCAGTACAGAATACAGCGGAAGAATAACTTCTCATGTCTTGCTCACAACAATTCTGTAAATGCACTGCAGAATCATGTTTGCTTTTCTTGCAACAGTGCCACACTGTTGACTCATGTTTAACTTGTCCTCCACTAAGACCCCTAAATCCATTTCAGCAGTATTCATTATTAGACAATCACTTCCCATTCTGTGTGTGTGAAATGTATTGTTCTTTCCCAAGTGGAGTACTTTGCATTTGTCCTTATTCATGCTGTTTATCTCAGACCATTTCTCTAGTTTGTCCAGATCATTTTGAATTTTGACCCTATCCTCTAAAGCACTTGCTACCCCTCCCAGCTTAGTATTATCTGCAAATTTAGTAATCCTACTCTCTATGTCATTATCTAAATCACTGATGAAGATATTGAACAGAACAAGTCCCAAAACAGACCCCGGTGGAACCCCACTTATTATGCCCCTCCAGCATGATTGTGAACCATTAATAACTACTCTCTGGGAATGGTTATCCAGCCAGTTATGCACCCACCTTATAGTAGCCCCATCTAGGCTGCATATTCCTAATGTATTGATAAGAAGGTCATGCAAGACCATGTCAAATGCCTTACTAAAGTCTAGGTATGCCACATCCCTCACTTCTCCCTTATCCACAAGGCTTGAGAAAGCTATCAGATTGGTTTGACATGATTTGTTCTTTACAGATCCATGCTGGCTGTTACCTATCACCTTATTCTCTTATTAATACATCTGCCTTGCATTGGCCATATCAAGGGTTGAATCCAGCCCTGGGAAAGGGCTAGGACTGTGGAACCACCAGCTGTGTCAAATAGCTGCAGCTGAGTCAAATAGGGCCCACATGGGATTGTATAAATAGGGGCTCCTGAAGAGGAGAGAAACAGACACACTCTTAGGTCCTTACCTCAAATAAGTTTTGTTTTGCTTAATTTAAATTATTTTTTCTAGGGAGGGGAGGAGGATGAGGGATTGAGTATGCAGGCTGCCCCTCTATCCCAGGGAGAAAAATCAGAGCCCTCTGTCACCAAAGCTGCTTGGGGCTACGTGATAAGTGCCTATCCATGGCTGCTGCATCTACAGGGGGCACAGCTGGCCCGGCACAGCCAGGGGGCTCCCTGGGAGTTGGGCCAAAATGCACAGGATGTCGGCTCTGGCCCTCAGGGACTACAGAATAGTTGACTAGCTGCTAAGAATTCATGCAGGGGGACGAGGGGGAACAGGCAGCACCACAGAGCCTATGATGGGGGACGAGGGGGAACTAACTTTTAAGTCAGCTCCTCCCCAGTGACAGGCTCCTGCTCCTCCCCATCCGCCACTTGCTGCCTATGATACAGAGGCAGCAAGGGTGGGAAAAATACAAGTTGTTGACTAGATTAACTGATAACCCTAGGCTTCCCTAGCCAGCAAAGCTATGTAGGCTTCTAGAGGCAGAACAGTACTGGGGAAAGAGAAGCAGAGCTAAGAATCTCTTGCCAGGCAAACTTCCAGGCTGAGCACATGCTCTTAAGATCTGAGTGTATTAGGGCTGCAGCAAGGCAACCAGGGAAGGAGAACGTAGTAGATTTACCCCCCTTTGCCAATGATGAGTGGCCATTTTAAACTGCAGTTTGCCCCGAGACAGGGGTTAGATGACAACTGGCAGTCAGTCACTGAGGCAAGGTGGGCATAGGGAGTTGGGGGTTCCCTGGGAGGGAAGGACCCCAAAGTGCAGGGGCACCACCAGAGGGCAGTACCGTGGGGGAGGGGGACCATGGTCTGGGAGGGGTGCAGGTCCTGATTCAACGTGGCAGAGAAGGGAAAGTTTACTCACCTTGTGCAATAACTAAAGTTCTTCGAGATGTGTCTCCATGGGTATTCCACGTAGGTGCGTCAGTGTTGCTGTGCACAAGGCCTGGAGATCTTTGCTAGCAGTCTCCCGACTGCTGGCACATGCTGCGCTATTGTGCAATCACTGAGCATGGCAGTTAGGCATGCCCCAGGAACCGTTCCCTCCATTCCTTCTCTACACCGGACTGTATTATCCCAGAGTATGGAGATGGGTGAGTGTGGAGCACCCATGGGAACACATCTCGAAGAATTCCAGTTACTGCACAAGGTGAGTAACTTTCCCTTCTTCTTCGAGGGTCCCCGTGGTTGCTCCACTTAGGCGGGTGCTCCACTTATGTGACTACACAGCAGTCAGTATTCCTGCTTGGAGGTGGGCGCTCTGTGATGCAGTATTGGATGTTGGACAGTATGGTACATCCAGGTCTAGTGTCTGAGTCCTGAAATGACCCACTAGCATAATGTTGTGCAAAAGTATTGGCCAAGGCCCATGCTGAAGCTTTGCAAATGTCATCTATTGGAAGACCCTTGAGGATTGTCATTGTGGTAGACATTGCTCTCGTGGAGTGTGTGCGGATAGCCGCTGGCGGCTGTCTGTTTTTCTGGGAGTAAGCCAACCGTATGCATGTAGAAATCCATTTGGATATTCATTGTTTGGCAACCAGTTGTCCTCTGGACCTGTCTGCACAAGACACGGAAAATCTGGGAAGTCTTTTGTGCATTCCAGGTAAAAGGCTAATGCTCTGCATAAATCTCGCCTGAGCAGCATTGCCTGGTTGCTGTCCTTGTGTGGCTTTGGGAAGAACACAAGTAGGTATATTGGTTCATTACAATGGAATGAGGTAGGGATCTTGGGGAGGAATTTTGGGTGGGCTCTAAGGACAACCTTGTCCTTGTGGAATACAGTGTACAGCGGATCCACCATGAGTGCTATTATCTCTCCCACTCTCCTGGCCGATGTTATTGCACGAGAAAGGCTACTTTCATTGACAGGTGGAGTAGTGAGCAAGTCGTGAGTGGCTCAAATGGTCATTTCATGATTGAATCAAACACAAGGTTCAGATCCCATGATAGCTCTCTATGCTGTGTGTAGGGATTCTGTATGCCTTTCTGGAATCTTAACGCACAGGTGGGAGAACACAGTGCCCTTGAATGGCTGGATGAATGACTGATATAGCTGCTAAATGCACGTTGATAGAACTAACTGAAAATCCTGTGTCCTGTAGGTGAAGGATATATTCCAGTACAGCTGATATTTCCGCCTTGTGTGGATCCCAAGCATTAGCCGAATTCCATGCTGCAAATCTGGCCCACTTCTACAGGTAAGTTAGTCTTGTATTGGGACTCCAGGAGTTAATTAGGTTGTCTCTGACCCATCAAGACAGGGTTAACTCATTGTGTGAGAGCCAACAAGCATGAATTCCCAGTTTTCCTCCAAGTGTTCATGTCAGTTGACTGTGTCTCTGGGACCGGTATATGGTTTTGGAATTGTTGGATTCTATAAGGTGCCCAAGGATCCCAATATACCCACTGTGGTGGGACTGGTGGA